CATCGCCTCAATTATGGTCTTTAAAGACGCTAACACAAGAGAACCGAAGCTCTTCAGAGCAGTGCCTGACTCTGAGAGGGTTATCCCACCCCGAACAACTACACCCTATTTCCTGTAAGCCCATTAAAACCAAACCAAGCAGCCATTTGTTCAGTGCACAGACGGTGGCATCAGCACTTATAAACCCATATGAATTTTGTATTGTACATTTAGAGTATTTACAGTGCACTTTACTGTGCCAACTGCCCGTTGTTATTCCCAGTACAGTTAAGTGAGGTGGCGCAGCAGTGTCGCTGTGCTGTTTTAGAGGAAGGATGAAAATGGCCCTTGTAAAACGTTCATATTTATACATTTAGATTGTACTTATCTATAGAAATTCCCTCTGCTGAGAAATTGCAGGTGCAGTGTTGTATGCAATGTCTCAATTTATTTTGTTATGCTTATGTATTAAAACTGGATGTCAGATAATAAAGCACTGCACAAATTGGAGTTATACACTTAGTGTTATCATGTGATATTATAAATAAACATGTAAACATGGGAGTAAATGTGTAAACAAATGGCTATATCCATTTGTTAGATTTCTGTAAGGCCTGTGATACCTTTGAAGATTCTCTGTGATTTCAAGATTTGGAATCAGTGCTTGTAATTATTTGTTTTCTGTGTAACCATTCTGTTTTTAAATAAAGAAATCCATTAATTGTAAAGGTGAGTTGAACACCGTTGGAGTACTTCTACTTTTGTATTCATGTTAAGGCCCCTACACACCAAACTGACACCAAAGAACACGTCCCGACGGAACACGACTGTTGTGTTGCCTCACGTCTCCTCCGTCTTGGCCAAAAAGTCGCACTGGAACACACCGCAAAGTAGTGTGTATTCGTCATTCAGAAGAGGCAACCAGAAGACAGATTGCGTGATATATAGAAACAACAAATAGCTACCTACAGCTCGAGCCAAGCAGCACAGGGATGAACTATGCCAATATTTTTAACAGTATCTGTGCAGTGCCTTTTCAGTGGGGCAAGATATAGCAAATATGTGTGCCTATCCTGCTATTTGTGTTTATTCTTTTAATCACACAGCGTTAAGAAAAAATAAAAATGTGCCTACATAACTGTCAGTTGCAGCCGCAGCATTATTATTGGTTTAACTACTAACAGTATATTTTTAAAATGACCATCTTGAACAGCTATACATTAAAATACTTCTAGGCAGATTGTGGACAGTAACAAAGTACATTTACTTAAGTACTGTACTGCTCCACTCCCATTCTGGCAAATAGTGTTTCGCTAAGCTGAACGGCGGAAGGTGTCGGCACGGCCGCAAAGACACAACGGTGCGGGACACCAATCTGAGTACTAGGGCGACAGGACGCTCATCGATGGCCCGACATCTATCGGTGTGTCCGGGCCTTATGCACCATAAACTTCCGGAATCTCAAATCCCCTCTTCCCTCTCCTCCCTATTGGCTGACACTGTCCCTGACTCCAGCCTCACCTAGTACGCTTCACCTGCTGACCTGGTCAACACCTACAACAATGCTCTCTTCTCCTCAATCAACTCGCACCAATAAAAACCAAATCTGTCTCTTTCACTCACTCCTCCCCCTGGTACACTAATCATCTCCGACGCCTCAAATCTAAAGGCCGCCAACTCGAAAGACTTGCAAATAGAACCGGTCTTACGATACATAAAGATGTCTACAAACTACACCAACAACAGTACAAAGACGCTCTCAACAGCGCACGCTCCTCCCACTACTCTTCCGTCATGCAATCTGGCAGCAACAACCCTAAGACACTTTTTTCAACATAAGCAAACTCCTCAAACCTATGGATACCATCTCCAACTCCTTCACCGCCACCACATGTGACTAATTCCTCTTGTTTCTTCAGGACGAAATTGAAATAATACACAGCCAACTGGCCAACGCTTCCAACTCCTCCACCACCCATCCTTACCTCGAACCTTCCTTCCCTCCTCCTTCGAATCACCCTTTTACATCATTCACTCAAATCACTACTGCTGACCTAGCTTCCCTAGTCATTGGCATGAAAACTTCAACCTCCATCCTGGACCCCATCCCCTCCACCCTTGTCAAATCGTGTCTCCCCCAACTCATTCCTCTGATCACCGCAGTCATTAACTCCTCTCTGTGCACTGGCCTCGCCCCCCCTGCTTTGAAACTCGCTGCTGTCACCCCTGTACTGAAAAGAACCCGGACTAAACCCTGACATCTTCAATAACTACCTGCCCATCTCCAACCTCCCATTCCTGTCAAAGATTTTGGAGTGAACTGTAGCCTCCCAACTACAATCTCACCTGGACAGCCATAACCTTCATGAACAATTTCAATCTGGTTTCCGCACTCGCCACAGTACTGAAACTGCTCTACTGAAGGTCACAAATGACAATCTCCTCTCTGCTGACTCTGGTTCCCTCTCCATCCTCATCCTTCTTGACCTAACCGCTGCTTTTGACACCATTAACCACTCCATCCTCATCACCCCCCTTCAGTCTTTAATTGGCAACAGGGCCGCCCCTGGCCAACTTGTGGCCCCACGCAAAGTTATATGATGATGCCCTCTGTGTTGCGAGCGTCAACGGGGTGGGGGGGGTGGGCGGGGTGCTAGTGGAGCCTCGCAGCGGTGAAACTGTGGCGCGCTTAGACTGTAGGTGCACCGCATTTGCGCTTCAGATGAGGCTCCCTCCGCAAAATGAAGAACCCTCCGCAAGATGAGGCCCCCTCAGCAAGGTGAGGCCCCACGCAGTCTGTGTGATTGGCCTGTAGGGAGGGCGGCCCTGATTGGCATAACCGGCACCGCCCTCTCCTGGCTCAAATCATATCTCTCTGGCAAAAAACTATTCATTTCCATCAACAACTGCAAATCCCCCACCGCTTCAGTCACTCACGGCGTCCCCCAGGGCTCTGTACTTGGTCCCCTGCTTTTCATCATTTACATCCTCCCACTTGGACAGATCCTCCGCAAACACCGACTTCGGTTCCACTGTTACGCTAACGACACCCAACTCTACCTCGCTACAAAAACTATTTCTGCAACCACCCACTCCCAACTCACCAACTGCCTCACTAACATCTAAACATGGATGCAAAACAACTTTCTGAAACTAAACTGTGACAAATCTGAAATAATCATTTTTGGCCCAAACTCACTAACCGCTCCACCCAGGACTCCCCTCTAAACATCGAAGGCTCCATCGTCAACCCCTCAACTCACGTCCGTAACCTTGGTATCATCCTCGACCCCGCCCTCACTTTCCTCCCTCACGTAAACCAGGTCACAAAAACCGCCTTCTTCCACTTAAAGAACATTGTCCGCACCAGACCCCCCCTCTCATCCACCGCTGCTGGAACTCTCATCCATGCCTCCATTACATCCCGTCTGGATTCCTGCAACAGCATCCTCTATGCATACATCCTCAATAAACTGCAATATGTCCAAAACTCCGCTGCCCGTATGCTCACCTCCACCCGACGCTCCGACCACATCTCCCCTATCCTCCATGACCTCCACTGGCTCCCCATCAAACACCGGATTGACTTCAAATGATTACTTCTCACCTACAAAGCCATCAACAACCTCCCCCCCCCCCTACCTCACTCACCTCATCCCAAGGCCGTAAATGTTGAAGTTAAAAGCATCAATCTGGTGCACTTTGAGAGCAACATTAAAGGTGGGGTAGGTCATTTTGGAGAAACCAGCTCGAGTGCGCTAGAATTTGAAAATACACAGCCGGAAAAAATCTGCCACTTCCTTACAGAGCCCCTCCTCCAACACACACGAACGCGCACATGACCAATGAGGGCACGAGATAAGTTTGTGCACAGATGGAAGGCTGACAGGCAGGTAGGCCATCCAGTTATTTTAGCCGGGCCGGCTAAAATGATTGGTCGTGCTTTTTACAGTTGGCTTCCACAGATTACATTTTTTTATGGATTTTTTGTCAAAGCACTTAAGATATTCATTGCTGTCGGGATGTTAAGAGCATTCCATGGAATATAACAAAAAGTGTATCTCGAGCCGGTTTCTCAAACTTATCTACCCCACCTTTGTCCACCTATGGATACATCTCTCAACACTCTCAACACCCATATGAAACAGAACTGTAAACAGATTTACTTTTACTTTATGCATATTTTACAAATCACTCCCTAGCTACTATTCCTGAAAAGTTCGGTTTTAACATCAGAACTACAAGTTATTTACACAAAGAAGCTAAACCGGAGGGTTCATTAACATTACCATTACGAAATAAAATAATATAGTTTAGGGCTAACTTGGATTAGGACTAGGCCTACTGTTTATGTTCTTTTTGTTTTATTTGTACTGTTTCTGTTCTGATTTTATTTAAAGTGTCTTTGAGCATTAGGAAAAGCACTATAAAATCCAATGTATTATTATTATTATTATTATTATTATTATTATTATTATTATTATTATTATTATTATTATTATTATTATTATTATTATTATTATTATTATTATTATTATTATTATTATTATTATTGTTATTATTATGTTGTAGTTGAGTATGGTTTGATGTAAATACATCTTCTGTACTTTTACTTTAGTAGGATTTTTTATGCAAGACGTTTACTTGTAATAGAGTGTTTTCACTATTTATAACGGGTATTTTCACTTCAGTAAATATCTGATGATTTATTTCACCTCTGCAAATACAGTTACTTGGAGCACGGAGAGGCATTGATTCCATTTGTCAAAGCCACTGCAGAATTAAGCGTTTCTCAAGCATTTGATATTTGTTTTTGACATATACTAATACATTATTTATTTATTTAGTCACATTTTAAAGGCAGGTTACAGAGATGTTGTAGTATGTTCATCTTGGTACATCTCTAAAGGTGCTGGCTGATACTCCCGTATCCTCTAGACGGCGCATGCGCCCACATTCCTCTCAGCTCTGTAGCCAATGAACAGAGGCCCCGCCGTGTCGTCATCAGTCATCTGTGTTGGGATGAATACGTGTAGCTCACCAACTAGCGGCAGCTAGCTTGTCAGTCGAGACAGCTAGTACATATTGACTGTCACAAGGATAGCTTTTCTTTACGTGTATACAGCAAAGAAGCGAACGTACATTCATTGAACATTTGAAAACGCTACGGACTGATCCGTTGTTGAAGTTAATATGGTAAGAGAAAGGCGACGAGCAAGCTAACGACAGCTAGCATCGCCCGGTGGTGGTGTTAACTCTTATTGTTATGGCTAGAAGAGCTAGCTGGCTAGCTGTCTGTCAAAACATAGTCTGACAGTGTCATTGTACATTTCTTAATGGGATTACACTGACGAAACACACAGACAGAGCTTTTACTTTGCAGCAATTTGTGACATCACTTTGGTTGGAGTCAGTAAGAATACACTGTAGCGTTGACACGGAAACACATTTATTTACAAACTCTAAATGTAGTTTTATTTCCTAATGCTATCATTTTTGATGAATTGCATACTTACTCCATCATAACATTTCCTCAACCCGCTAAAGAAGCATTTTAACCTAAACCTTTAGAGTCTCTGGTGCAGAATGGAAGCATTCAGAAGGTTGAAAATTATGATCAAATTATTGGACAGTTTTTTGACATACCAATTTGACAAACATGGATTGTTTTCCAGTGCAGTAAAACACATCCTTCAATTAACTACTTAATTATCACCTTATTATTATTCTTTGTAATAAATGGTCCTTAAAGTAGAAAGACTTGACAACCAAAATGTTCCAGCTTTTGTCTGTCTTTATTTTTGCCCGAACAGCCCGTCTATTATAAAATGATAATAATGGTTGTGGAAAAGCTCTTGATCTTGTTGCTGGACTCATTACAACAATGTGACATGTGACTGTTCTTACAAGAAACCCATGTTGTTAATCTTGCAATTTTGATAACTGTCTCTTTTCTTTTCCTAGCTGTAACAGAATGGAATTACCAGAAACAACTTGTTTGGAGTGGTACTGCATAAGGACGCAGTTCTGTTTCAGCCTTCAGAACAAGGAGCCATAAACGTCCATGTGTCGCAGGAAGTCCCTTACTCTCCAGAAACTGCAAATTGCACCAAAAAAGAGACACTCAAAGGACAGACATGTTTGCCAAGTTGAAGAAGAAGATTGCAGAGGAGGCGGCCACAGCACCTCGGAGTGGTGTTCGGATACCGCGCACCATCAGCAAGGAATCCATCACCTCAGTAGGGGCCGACTCAGGGGATGACTTTGTAAGTACTTTAAGAACTCATCACAAGTTATTATTCTAATGTAATCAAATGTTTTCATGTTTTGCAGATGGTCTGCTCCCTTTTTGATGCATAATCAATAGTGATGGGAATTATGGCTCTGTGAAGGGAGCCGGATCTTATGGCTCCGTTCCTTTCAAAGAGCCGTTCAAAAGAGCCGTTTTTTTTTTAAGGGGGCGGGGCTACTAGGTTTATCTGCGAAATAATCACCAGGATAATGATTGACTGTATTGCCACTGCCTAATGTCAATAATCGGCATTGTAAACATGACACAAGGTGGCGCCATATCCATGTCATTCATGTCAGTGAATGTACTTTGAATTTACCCTCTGTATGTGTTAAGTAAATAAAGTTGCCTTGCCTTGAATGAAATTCATGCAACTCTTAATATTAGATAGGCCTACTGTGTTTTTAAGTGGCGATGGAGATTATTTGTTGACCCTGCTTTAAAGGATATTTTGCCTTTACAAATGGTGCGCTTTATCACTGCCTGGGTTTTGGTTGAAGTGCATCCAAATGCTGCTGCGTTTTCGCGTTTGGCTCATTTTCCATCCGAAAAACACGTGGTCTACCTGTCCTGTACCAGTTGTTATGACTTCTCTCTCTCGCGTATTCCGTTAAGACCCACCCCACCTCACTCCTCGTGCTGAAACCTACCAATCAGAGTAGGGGCGGGTCTTCACAGAATACGTTTGGGGAACAAAATCAAGCTTTTTAAAAGGCGAGTGGATTTTGGCAGGCAGTGAGTGCGGACCAACGATTGAACGATAACAAGAACGGCTCTCACCAAGTACGACTCGGTTCCCCTCGTTCGTACCAAAGAGCCGTTCAAAAGAATCGACTCGTTCGCGACCGACACATCACTAATAATCAACCACTGTTTGGATACTTTATTAGATTGGGTTTGCTTAACACCGTCACACCTTTGTGTTCCAACCCACAGTGGACAACTTTTAGGAAATACTTTATCACCTTACAAAATAGTTCAGTAACTTTTCAGTGTTAATCTAATAATAAGTATTTAATGGTAAGTCCTGTTCCTGACTCAAGAAGAAACTAAACAGCTTTGTTTTTGCTGGATGATTTATTGTATTTAACTGTTATTATCTAGCTTTCCATATAATATCTTTGTGTTGCACATTTGTATTGATTTCACGATAAACATTGTGATGGAAGCATCCACACTGAGTAACGATAACCATGTTGAGGCCCCATAATAGATATCAATGACCTGTTACTGCTGTACGTCTCCAGCAGAAAGAAATGAAGATAAGGATGGAAATAATAGGAATAATACAAACTGTTGAAGGAAGCTGATGATTGACTGATGCCTTGTCATGCAATGTGCGTCTTTCAGCACCAGATATGCAAGGAAAGACAGAGAGAGAGATATATAGAAGCTGTTCATTTTATTTAGCTGATAGCGAATATGTTCAAAGAGCATTTAACTAATCCATCCCCATGTGTGAATATATTCATATTCAGATGGATTTAGTTTGAATTTGAGTGTTTCTTATGTTCATCAAATCGCTCTTAAGTGATCCCAGCAATATTGTTGGCTGTTGTCGACTCGTCATAGTTGTGGCTTAGAGTCCACCATCCATTTCAAACCCCATTCCCCTGTTGGTGTGTCCTTTGAAAGGACACACCAACAGCTTTGAAAGGTGAAACAAACATCTTCATGTACCTGATCTGACAACACACAACACGTGAAGGGACTTTCTATGAACTGCAGGAACTGCAGGAACTGTAGCCGACCTCTGCTTTACGAGTAGCTCATGTGTGAAACATGGCAGTGATCACAGCAGCATCCATAACAAAAATGAACGAATGCTGAATGAAATCACTTTATTCTCAACTAATTGATTAATGTCCATAACTGTAAGGAATAGATCTGTTTGTGGCCTCACGGGTCCTTCATGAACTGCATTACAGTGAGTTTATTTGAAAGTGGATAAACAGAAACTGCTGAACGAAGCACCCTTACTATTTGTAGATGCTTGTATGTCTACCATAAAAAGCAGCACTGATATTAAGGACAGTGTTCTATACTCTGTTGAATTTTTGTAATGTTTTTTATTTAACCTTTATTTAACCAGATAAAAGCATTGAGATAAAATCTCATTTACAAAGCTGACCTGGCCAAGAAGGCAGCAACGTTACACATTATGACACATAACACAGACATGTAAAATACAGATAACAACTAACTAAGACGAAAAGCAGTCACTACATTGTGCACATTTGGGACAGTAAGAAAGGTACTACTTATTACTGCAAGAGCAGCTGGTGGTAAGGACCTCAGACAACTTCAATTTAAAACAGGCTATAGGGACAAGTGCCATCAGTTTGAGGCGTGATTGAAGGTTATTCCAAGACCAAGGACCATAATGAAAAAGACTCCTTTTTCCAGCCTCAGCAGGTACCTGGAACCGTATCCAGGCACTGGATCTGAGGTTGTAACAGTCACAAACTGGAGCAAATCTGGCACATATGTACAGTGGAAGCTTACCTAAAATGGCTTTATACATTAATAAAAACCAATGCTGCATCCTACGCATACTAAGTGAGGACCATCCAGTTAGGCTATACAGTTTGATGCTGATGGCCGAGGTCCAGCTGCAGTAATCCCCTCTGTCCCGTGTTCTAAAGTGCAGCACCACTGCCAAATGACTAAATGTCATCAGCATCACATCTTCCCTCTCAGTGCAGAACAATGGTTAATGATTAAATACATCATTTCATATACCATGCCAAAAACCACACTAAAACAGCAGCAATTACAAAAATGAAAGCTTTAAAGCTGTTTTTTGTATTGCCTACAATTTGTCTTTGCCATACTCGGGGTGAAAAAAAGACAGGAAACTTCTTGTAGAAGTCAGTGTTTTCTGCACAAGAACAAGTACGTGGACTCTTTTTTAATAACCTGCATTTATTTATAAATTGAGTGGAGGGATCACCATGCTTTGGGCTGTGTTGTTGACTCGTGGCCTGGATAGTTTGCCATCATTAAAAGAAAAGGGAATTCTCAAGTTTACTAAGATATCCTCCAGGATAACTTCAGACTGGTGTATGCCAGCTGAAGCTCAGCCATGGTTAGGTGGTGCAGCAGGACAATGACCCAGCCTAGACCTCATTCCAATAGAAATGCAGTGGAATGACCTCAAGAGAGCCGTTCACACCAGACATCCTGAGAGTATGGCTGAGCTGAAGCAGTTCTGTGAGGAAGAATGCTCCATTTCTCCTTTCCCCCTCGTTTCAGGTCTGATCGTAGCTACTGGAAGCGCTTGTTTGAGGTTATTACTGCAGAAGGAGGTTTTACCAGTTATAAAATGGAGAGGGTTCACTTACTTTTCCTGCCAAGACATAAAAGATTATAAATGTTTGTGTGTTAATAGCTTGTTTGTCTATTCTTGTGACTTTGATCAGATCACTTTTAATGACCAATTCATGCTTAAAACCAGGACATTCCAAAGGGTTCACATACTATTTCTTGTCACTGTAGTTCTGGAGACTCAAAGAAAATTGCAGGAATGAATGTCAGTGCTATGATGGGAACCCTGGCTGACGGCTTTTGAAGTAGTCACCAGTCAGGCAGTTTCTAGGTAGCAGGGTGTGCCTCACATTACATTGTGTTCATTTCATGCAGGCAGGATACAGTGTAACTCAGTCCCAAACCAACCAGTCTAACATGAAGCCCTGTTGATTCACTTCTCGTTTCCCAACAGAACACGCACAGCTGACCTTTCTGTCTTTTGTAACTGAGTTGTTTTCTTTGGATGTGACTGCTTAATTGACCTGTTTTAGTGCCGGGCAGTGCACAGTAGGGCTGCACGATTTGGGGAAATAATGTAATTGCGATTTTTCTGACAGATATTGCGATTGCGATTCGATTTGCGATATTTGTTTTTAAGTGACCCAACGGAAGTCTATTGTAAAATGCGGCCATATCTCCGGCTAGGAAGGTCGTATCAACGTGCTCCCGAAAAGTATTTCAAAAATACATGGCAGGTGATTGGATCAATCTGTCTATCACCTTCTATCATGGGCCACTTCTGATTGGTTAACAATGACTGGTACATGTGGAGCACAGCACTTCTGATTGGTGTGGATGACTGACACACAAGAAGAACTAAAAAACTAAAAGAAATCGCAGGCTTTGTGATTTGATAATTGTATCATTTTAAAATCGCGATTTCGATTTAAAATCGATTAATCGTTCAGCCCTAGTGCACAGTCACAGTGCACAGTCACAGGGCTGACCAGACTCCTGAGGCTGTATAGTCAACTCAGTTTCACTTGGCTAAATCATAGTGAAGTCGCTGAGGAGCCCTGCTGCCAGCTAACACTGTTTCTCTGGTGCATCCACAGTAGTGTGGGCGCCGTAGTTTAACACTTGTTTGCGTGACCATGACCGGTGGTGTGTTTCCTTTCTGCAAGAAATCATCTGCGGTCTCCGAAGCCTGATAAGGATGTGTGTGTAGTACAAAACGCAACAAACTCTAACTGATATGTGTTGGGTCCAGGCTCAAGGGCGTATGGCACTCTCAACTCTTTCCAGGACATGCCGGGGCCCTGCCTGCCAGTAGCTTTGCCGATATGTGTGTTGATAGTAATAGATTAAGAGCGGTGAATCAGCTTAGAAACAGGAAGTGCTCAAACGTTTGTGTGAATTTATCAAATTTAGCAGTGATTCCATGTCAGCCACAGCTTGTCACAAAAAATCTTACTGATAGTGTATTTAACAAACTTAAACTAGCTTTATTAAATGTCAGGTCTTTGGCAGGAAAAACATTTTTAATCAATGATTTTATCACTGAGCACAATCTCGATTTTATGTTTTTAACGGAAACTTGGATTGAACAAAATAACAGTGCAGCTGTTCTTATCGAATCACCCCCTCCCAACTTTAGTTTTATGATTCAGGAAAGAATGCAAGAGAAAGGAGGTGGAGTTGCTATTTTGTTCAATGATTCCATTCAATGCAGGAAGACATCTTATGGGAACTTTGCTTCTTTTGAATATGTGGCCCTTCAGCTGAAATGCTCCTCTCGAGCTCTGTTCCTAAATATCTATAGACCACCCAAATACTGTGCAAGCTTTTTTGATGACTTTACTGAACTGCTGTCTATAGTGTGTATTGACTTTGACCGTCTAGTCATTGTTGGTGATTTTAACACCCCTGTTGACAACCCCCAGGACAGAGGGGCTAAATAACTGTTTTGTGTTCTTGATAACTATGGACTGACTCAGCATGTGACGGAGCCCACGCACAATAAGGGGCACACTCTGGACTTAATTATCTCAAAGGGTCTGAATATCTCTAAGGCGATATTTAACTGAAAATACTAGGGAAATGTTTAAAGAATTTTTCTTCCACACTTGCCCCTGCTAACATCTCAGTAAATGAGCTAGTAGATCATTTTAATTAAAAGATTAAAGATTTTATAGATGCCATTGCTCCAACTAAGGTAAAGGAAGTGACTGGCAAGAAAATATCTCCATGGAGAAAGGCCATGACTGTGAAAACAGAAAAAAGAGTGTCGAAAAGCTGAACGTAGGTGGCGAAAAACAAATCTCCAGGTTTATTTTGAAATCTATAAAGAGAGACTTGGCCTTTATAATTTGGAATTGAAAAACGCACGACAGTCTTTCTTCTCTGACATCATTACCAAAAACAAAAACAACGCACATGCCTTATTTGCTACCGTCGACAGACTAACAAACCCCCCAGTGTCAGTAGCCTCTGAATTTCTATCCACCAGGGCCTGCAATGATTTTGCCTTCTTCACTGACAAAATTCAGAAAATCAGACAAGCAGTCAGTGCCTCTGCATCAGGTACAGCAAATGTGTTGTCCCTGTGTCCACCTAAAATCAATTCAAACACCATGACACAATTCCATCAGATTAATGATAAAAACCTAGAGGACATTATACAACATCTGAAATCCTCCTCCTGCTGCCTTGATATTATACCAACAGGATTTTTCAAAGATGTTTTTCATTGCATGGCCTCAGATCTACTTCACATAGTAAACAAGTCTCTTTACTCAGGTGTTTTTCCACAGGCCCTGAAAACTGCTGTCATTAAACCGCTCTTAAAAAAGAATAATCTAGATGCTTCAGTAATGAACAATTACAGGCCAATATCAAACCTGCCATTTCTAGGTAAAATCATTGAAAAAGTTGTTTTTCAACAGTTGAGTAATTACTTGCATTTAAATAACTGTTTGGATGTGTTCCAGTCAGGCTTTCGTCCAAACCACAGCACTGAGACTCCTCTTGTAAAGGTCTTCAATGACATCCACTTAAACACAGACAGTGGCAGAACTTCAGTGTTAGTATTATTAGATCTCAGTGCTGCGTTTGACACTGTTGACCACAACATATTACTAGACCGACTAGAAAACTGGGTGGGACTTTCGGAAACAGTTCTAAATTGGTTTGAATCCTACTTAAAGGACAGAAAAAACTTTGTTTCTATAGGTAAATACACATCTGAGTTGACAAATATGACATGTGGGGTTCCTCAAGGCTCCATCTTGGGGCCTCTTCTCTTTAACATCTACATCCTACCAGAGATGGAGTACTCGAGTCCTGGACTCGGACTCGAGTCGGACTCGAGTGCCGATTTTCGGGACTCGTGACTCGACTCGGACTCCCGCACTGATTGACGCGACTCGGACTTGGACTCGTGAATTCTCGCGCACGATGACTTGGACTCGGACTCGGACTCGTGAATTATCGCGTACGCTGACTTGGACTCGGACTCGGACTCGTGAATTTTTCCCCCCATGATGACTCGGACTCGACTTGTACATTGACGCTCCGACTTGGACTCGGACTCGGACTCGAGCAAGTTTTCTATGGAGTCTGATGTCCTCTATCCTGGCGTGTGCACCGGCTGCGAGGCGAGTTCACGTACTGGGCCCCGCTATTCCAGTCTAAAGATGTCTAGAGACACACCCCGCATCGTGCTGTATGCTTTCACACATTCTGCTTCCACATTGGAAAAGAGCAGCGCAAAATGCTCTATGTGGAAACAATATTGAAGAGAAGGCTCCGTAACACATTACTCTAAACATCGAGTTCAGACATATAGGCTGTCTTGAACACTATCATCAGAGTAACGTCATCTAATCAATACATAAAGATTCAGCCGATAACACGAAAGCATATGGCTACTTAACATGCAGAATGACGTCATTTTGCATGCTAAGTAGCCATGTGCTTTCTGGGGCTAAATCTTTATCAGTAAACCGATTTAACCGGTAAAAGTTCCTTCAAAATAAGAGTCCCGATCTTATTACTATCAAAATAAAAGTGCAAAACGAAAACTTTACCATAGGAAAATATTGGCATACAAATATAATCACTTCTCTAAAAGGTAACTCATTTTAAACATAGTTTATATATAATAATAATAATAATATTAGTAATAAGCTTTATATTTGTATAGCACCTATTACAAGAATTGTAGCCAAACTCGCTTCACAGCAGTTCAATAGACAGATTAGTATAACATGACAGGATAAAAGCAATGTAGAGGAGCAGCTACATTTCAACACATATATCCATGAAGATTAATACATGAAGACTTGTGACTCGGACTTGACTTGGACTCTTCTTAGGTGACTCGGACTTGGACTCGGACTCGAACACAGGTAATGATGACTCGGACTCGGACTTGACTCGGACACTCCTTGGGTGACTCGGACTTGGACTCGGACTCGAACACAGGTAATGATGACTCGGACTCGGACTCGACTCGGACACTCCTTGGGTGACTCGGACTTGGACTCGGACTCGAAGAGTGGTGACTCGAGAGTGACTTGGACTCGTGAATTGGTGACTTGACTACAACACTGCATCCTACCACTGGCTCAGATAATGAAAAACAACAAAATAAGTTACCATAGCTATGCGGATGACACACAAATTTACGTAACAATTTCACCAGGAGACTATGCTCCAATTCAAACACTGAGTAAGTGCATTGAACAAATCAATGACTGGATGTGTCAGAACTTTCTCCAATTAAACAAAGATAAAACTGAGGTAATGGTTTTTGGAGCCAAGGCAGAACGTATAAAAGTTAGCGCTGAGCTTCAGTCTGCAATGTTCAAAACAACAGATAAAGCCAGAAATCTAGGTGTAGTCATGGACTCTGACCTGAGTTTCAACAGTCACATTAAAACAATTACTAAATCAGCCTACTATCACCTAAAGAATATTTCTAGGATTAAAAGACTAATGTCACAGCAGGATTTGGAAAAACTTGTCCATGCTTTTATCTTCAGTAGACTGGACTACTGTAATGGTGTCTTTACAGGTCTCACTAAAAAATGTATTAGAAAGCTGCAGCTAATTCAGAACGCTGCTGCTCGAGTCCTCACTGACACTAAGAAAGTGGATCAGTCCTGTTCTGAAGTCTTTACACTGGCTTCCTGTCTGTCAAATAATTGATTTCAAAATATTGCTGCTGGTTTATAAAGCATTGAATGGTTTAGGCCCAAAATACATTTCTGACCTACTGCTAAATTATGAACCATCCAGAACTCTCAGGTCTTCTGGTCTGCTTTCTGTCCCCAGTCAGAACTAAACATGGTAAAGCAGCATTCAGTTATTATGCTCCAAATATCTGGAACAAACTACCAGGAACCTGCAGGTCCGCTGCAACTCTTACTACTTTAAATCCAGGCTGAAGACTTTTCTTTTTGCCGCTGCTTTTAATTGAACTATTCATATCTTAAACTGCACTGTAACTTTTATCCATGTATTTTTTCTTTTAATGTTTATTTTATTATCTTTGCTTTTTAATGACTGATTTTAAATGCCATTTTCTTAATGTCTAAAACTAATAAACTTGCCTTGCCTTGCCTTGCCTTGCCTTGCCTTGCCTTGCCTTGCAACCACTTCATAGATTTGTATTACCTGGAGCTGACTAGCCAAATACCACTGACATATACAGTAATACACTGGTATTCAGACCCAAATCTGGAGATATCTTTTTAAATAGTTTACAGCCATGATCCAGAATGAAAATCTGCAGAACCTAGCCACATTTCTGTTGTAATGTGATGGACAATATTTATTTAGGATAATGAAGAAACATCTCTTTTGTATTAAAATCTGCAGTTCCAGATTTGTGTGGGCTTGTACAGAACACTTTGATAGGAAACATCAATGATTCACTTCAGGTTTTGGACTTGATGTGTGGACTTTTTGAAATGTTCTGACTAATAACCACCAGATTATAAAGTAATCAGTAGAGTGAAACTACCTACTGTGAAAACAAAACTTAACACTTAAGTGCTTTAGACAGATTTGAGGATTATTGACTGATAAACCCACTTAAGATGGATATTTGGTCCATTTCCCTCCACAAACAGGATGAATATTAGGTGCTATGTATTTTAACGCTTTGAGTGTGTCTGTGTTCAGGCATCTGATGGCAGCAGCTCCAGGGACGACCTGCCTGCACAGCTTCTCAGGAGGAATGATCAGATCCGCAAGCTGGAGGCCAAGCTATCAGGTAAGTCCAACATCCACCAGTGCTGCGGCCATAGACCCTATCCTAACTGTTTTATCATGAAATTATAGAAACACAATGCAATCTCTGAATGACCGAGGCTAATGATAATACAAACATTTATTGACTTTATTTCTGTCGCACCTTTCATGTAATACATGTTGCTTAAAGTGCTTTACATATACAAAAATGACAACAGAATAAAGACAAGTAACAAGTTTAGTGTCCACTTAGAAGGACGTTAACACAATTGTAGAGGCTACTGGGAGCAGTGTGTCCAAGATGTGTTCTCTTTTCTTTGTTTTTGTTAGAAGCAGCAGAGTTTTGGTACAATATCAAATCACTTTTTTGGAGTTTGGGTCCAAATGCAACACAATATTCCAATCAAATTTCAATAGAAGCATGAATTATTTTTTGGCATCTTGGAGGGTCAAAAATAGCCGTACCTTTCCAATGTTTCTGAGGTGAAATAATGCCACCTTGGTACCTGCTGATATGAGATATAAAACTTAAGATCAAATCAAAATCAAATCAAGTTTAATTCTCAAGATAGAGTTTAAAATAACAACCAGGGTCGGATTTCCACATTTTTTGGGCAGCTCATCGCTTTTCGATTTGTGACCGACTAATATCAATTGTTTCCTGTCCTTATTTAGTTTACATAGAGTAAATACACCAACAACAAGACTTTTGAATGTTATGAATCCAAGATGCGGAGGGATAGATTCATTGTTGCAATATGTTTTTGATTTAATCAAGACTATTGTTCATCTTCATAAAACAATAACATTGTTAAAGCTATATGTATATATATTATACTTCATAAATATGAATATATCAATGCATAGTTAAGTGTGATACGGTAGAAATTCCAAATATATATTTTTTGACATTCACTTTCTAGATCATCTGAATTTGCCACAAAGTTTGGAATTTGAAGCTCTGTTTGCCTGATGCAATATTCAGCACAAAGAATGGGTTTTTCTAATGATGATCATATGAATGTCTCAGAAGGATCATATGATAATGTGTTGCTGTGTGACATAGTCCTGACATATTTGAGGCTTAGGGTGTTTTCTCCTTTACTCAGTCTAATAACCCCTTTGTCCTTTGGGTGGCCTATGTGACTTTGTGCCCTTAGTAAAGGTTAAAGGTCGCACACGCTGCCTTTCAACCAGCATGGTTTTCTCAGATAAGAAATTCATTAATAGTTTTCCATTATTTCTCAATCATGTTTTCCCTTTTGCTTTCTTGTGTGTGTGTGTGTGTGTGTGTGTGTGTGTGTGTGTGTGTGTGTGTGTGTGTGTGTGTGTGTGTGTGTGTGTGTGTGGTGTGTGTGTGTGTGTGTGGTGTGTGTGTGTGTGTGTGTGTGTGTGTGTGTGTGTGTGTGTGTGTGTGTGTGTGTGTGTGTGTGTGTGTGTGTGTGTGTGTGTGTGTGTGTGTGTGTGTGTGTGTGTGTGTGTGTGTGTGTGTGTGTGTGTTGTGTGTGTGTGTGTGTGTGTGTGTGTGTGTGTGTGTGTGTGTGTGTGTGTGTGTGTGTGTGTGTGTGTGTGTGTGTGTGTGTGTGTGTGTGTGTGTGTGTGTGATCATCCCCACCTCCCAACACTAGACTACGCTGAGCAGCTACGAATTATGCAGAAGACCAAGGACAAGCTTGAAATTGCATTAGAAATGCAACAGGATTGTACGTACCTCTACTCTCCTCCCAATGAGCTTCCTTTCTCTCATCTGTCTTTCTGCTGTTAATAACAATCACCTAGCCTATCATCATCTTCTACCATAAAGATGTTTTTTTTATTCAGAACATTATACGTCAGTATCAGCTTTAGACGTTTGCTTTGGGAGTGCTGAATGCTTTTACTTCTAATCTAATTCACCCTTAAAACGTTTCTACTATTTATGAGCATATTAATCAGAGTAATCTTTGCATTTTCTATTCATTTGTTGGTGTACTCACTTTCTCTCAATCGCCTCACACACCTACGTTAGTTTCCTAGATTTCCTACAATCTGTGACAACTACCTTGATTTCCTGTTACTTAAAGCTGGACTCATTTGTATGAGCGCTTATGAGCAATAACAACATTTAGACTATTGCAGATCCACATCCATTGTTTATAACATGTCTTATAGCTGTGTTGCACTCTGGTAGATTGGACACACTTCTCTTGCAGGTACTTTTGATAACAATGTTAAGATTATAGTGTAGGTCTTCTTTGACTCTGAGGTTGAATTTTGAAGTTTTGGTGCATTTTTGGTCCTTGACTTGGGTTTGTGCAGGACAAATATCACAATCTGAGCCCCAGTGACAGAGCTGTGTCCCGTTCCTTGGAGACGGCTGTCAGGAAAGTTCCGATGCTTTTAATGAAAAGTGAAGCTACTGTACTACTTCACACAATAATTGCAGTGTTAGCTTTTACAAATTGTGCTTTTAGTTTGTGTCAGCTGCTAAGCATTGCCTGTCTTTGCTTATGGGATGAACACACTTCCTAATCTGACTCTTACTTTAGACAACAATGCCACTGTCTGTGCTATTTAAAATGTCTCTTCTCTTTGGCTTCATAGAAACCTCTCTGTATGGTTTCCATCTTTCCCTTTCTGTTTTCTTTCCTACTGTCAATGCCCAGTTTCCATAAAGAAACTTCAAGACCAGAACGAGACTCACCAGACCAGCAGAGCCAAAATGGCAGAGGGGATGGCTCTAGCTCTGGAGAAGAAGGATGAGGTAAATAACACTCCTGTTTCACTTCATGCACAGTCCTGATTTATGGCATGTCTAGTAATCACTTTCTATACTTTACCTGCAGGAATGGATTGAGAAGATGACTGATTTGGAAAAGGTGGGTTTTTAATTCTATAAGAATGAAAGTAAGCTGTTTATTATGACTGTTTTCAACATGTTATATAGAAGGGTCAAGGACACATTACGGTGTTTTCACATTATCCTGAGTGATTGACTTTCAGTTGGTGCTGCTGCCCATTTAGTTGGGCTTGCTTCTGCTGGTGGGGAAATGGTCTATTAAGGTCTGGTGCACAGAAAACAACCTGGTTAAGAACCTTAAAACAACCACAGGATCTTCTCCTAGTAAATACTATATAGGATTTTATAAGTTACAACCATGGCATCAAGTATGCCTGTCACCAAGTATCAGAAAGCAAAAAGAAGTTACACCAGTTTGTTCTGCTCGTGTCCTACTCTGTGTATAAAAGTACATAAAAGGGGTGACCACAGCTGAAAGGAAAACTATTTTAGGCAATATTAATAATTGGTTGAAACCAAACTGAACTCCAGGTATTAAAGCCCACTTTCCCCTTTTCCACCAAAATGAGCACATGTATGCACATTGCAAAAACACAAACCCCGGTCGAAGAGGGGGTAGAGTCCCTCCCCATTACCAACAGACCAGCATGCATTTCAGTTTTTTGTGTGTGTTTTTTCTGGTGGGTCACGTTTGATGTAAGTAGAAGTGGTTCCTTCTTCTTTTATCTGTCACTGTTTCAGTCTATTTCAGACTTTTAAAGTTGGAGATGTCAGAGCAGTGGAAAGACTAACAAATAGGTTTTAATGGGTCTCTTTTTGTTTCTGTTGAGTTTGAATGAAGTTATTTTATTCAAAATAACAAATCCATTAACGTACAGTTACCGTTTTCTAACAGGAGTTTTTACATTTATTAATTACAATAATTGTCCAAATACCAGTTTTTTCTGTATCCACTATAAAATCCCTTCAAAGCACGTCACATAGCTCGCGCCCAGAAGGTGGCGAAAATCAGTGTGTCCACCCGGCGTCATGTTTCTGTCACTGCTGATCAGGTAAATACCGTGACTACTGCAGAGTCAGGATTGAATGCAGAATGTAACTTTTCCTCTGCAGAATCAAAAGCCAGATGTTAGTGGGTGTAAGGGGCTTATTTCTCCAGGGGCTTAGGACTTGGAACCTGCTCATACCCTCAAAATGAACAATGCACGTGTACCATAAATTGGTATAACTGTTGTGTTTGTTTAGGAGAAAGCTGCCCTGTCAGCCCGGCTAGAGGAGATGATGGAGCAAAGCTTAGCACTCTTCCAGAAAAGGGATGACCTGGATGAACTGGAGGGCTTTCAGCAGCAGGAGCTCGCTAAAGTTAAACACATGGTGCGTACATGTGAGCTGGATGCTTGGATTTACAGCAGTATCATACTGTAATTAGACGAGAAGGTGGAACATTGCTACTACTCAATTCAGATTCTGGTAGTTGCAAATTCTGCTTTATTGGATATTTTCTTAATTATTCATGACATTTAAATCATGCAGCATTAGAAAAATACTTCAAACTAGCTGGTAACACCATAAACTCAATACGTCTCTCTCTCTCTCTCTCTCTCTCTCTCCTATATCGATCTCTCTCTCTCTCTATCTCTCTCTCTCTCTCTCTCTCTCTCTCTCTCTCTCTCTCTCTCTCTCTCTCTCTCTCTCTCTCTCTCTCAATTCAATTCAATTCAATAAGCTTTATTGGCATGAATGTCAGGTGAACAATATTGCCAAAGCATCAAGGATAATACAATTCAATAAAATTGATAAAATACAAATACAATTCATTCATTAAACAATTTACAACAATATATTATTACAAAACCTCAAGTATAAAATGTAAAAAGAAAGAAAGAAAAGAGACCCATGAAGTAGAGGAGTGATCGTTGCTGTCTCTGAGGCTGTGACATGCGCTCACATGTTGATTTGTTTACCATTTATGTCCATCAGTTGCTGAAGAAGGAGGAGCAGCTGAGCCGGAAGGACCAGGAGCTCCAGCAAAAGGAGGCTGAAGTTCAGTCAGCAAAGCGAGGGCTGTCTGAGGTCAGAGGGAAACTCCAGACTCTGGAACAGCAGCACGAAGAGAGCTGCACAATCAACACTGAGCTGGAAATCGAGCGGTAAGCAGGAACGCAGCAGGACTGATGGGATTTGTATGCTCTTTTCTTTTAGCCTGTTGGTTAATCTTCTGAATCAGCTGTGCTATCAGATAGCTAAGCTTTCCCAGACAGTCATCCCCAGTGGAACTGCTGGGGATTTGCCTGTTAACTATAAAGTTAACAAACAAAGGAAACTACAAATAATACAATCAAATAAATCACAATATAGAGTTTAAACATGATTTTTGCTTTTTAGGTTTACTGCTGATATCATATATTGGAAACCATGTCGTGTCACCTTTATGTCTCCTGCATACTTGCATAAAATGTCCTCTCTTTATAAGTCTACATCAGTTTTGGTACTTGATTTGTGTGAAAGAGCACAAAGTGCATGTGTGTGACTGTGCACAGAGAGGAGCTGCTGCTGCTCAGAGAGGAGGCGGAGCAGAAGTTGAGTGAGCTGCAGGCCGTCCTCCAGCGGGTCTCTGAAGACTTCCACAAGGTCAGAACACAAGCTCCACTACTTATTTACTTAACGTATCATGGTACTCCTTCATACATCCCTTTCAGTCTGAGAGTGGGAGAAGTTTGAGAGAAGTTTGTTTTTCAGTCACAGGGTATGGTGTCGACTTTAGAGAGGTCCCTCCATGAACTGCAGACTGAACATGACGCCCTGAAGTTGCAACAACAGAAGGTCAGATCCATTCATGTATCTTCAAGCACAGTGGTTCCCAACCTTTTTCTCTAGTGTACCCTGTGAGCTGGTCGCCATTCTATGGTCGCATTCAAACCTAATAGTCACTTCTTTGGTGCGCACCAGACGACGGTTTGTTACATTGTTTCATTTTTCAGAAGGTTTGGTTTGCGTTCACACAGGCAAACCTCAGAAGGACTATAAACTGTCAACAAAAGTCATGTGCACGGAAATGCTGTTCAACAATTGGTCAGACAGTAAGCGGCTAAAAACACAATTCCCGGCATTTCTACCGTAGCCCCCCGAATGGAGCATCGGCAGGTTATTTTCATGCTGCTGTTAATCTGGAGATCAACAGACTCTAATGGACAGCTCATAGGATTATATAATCAGACAACGTGCATTAAAAAACATTATAACACATGCGTATAATGAGAGACGTTCTGCAGTCAGGAGGAGGTTTCACCGACAACAGGGAGCTCTGATGAGATTGTACCACCATGTTTCTCAATTAATTAACAATATCTTAAAATGACAATATTAACAATTCAAGTCAAACTTTGGTGATTTATGTTTTCCTTTGACATCATCAGGCTGCTGTTACAGAGGAGGACAAGGAGCGCTTGTTAGCGGACCTTCAGAAGAAAGTGACGTCTCTGGAGAGGCGGCTCCAGGGGAACCTGAGCCAGGACGAGCATCTGCAGGAGTTTCTCAAGGAGGTGAACAACATCATCAGGATGAAAACTACCATTGTGTTGCTCATAGTTAAAAGTATTGCAAAACTCTAAACAAATCTTAAATAACATCAAAATATATTCAGAACTTAGATTTAGTTGTTTTCTGTTTTTGGTCCTTTTATTTAAATAATTATCAATCTCTTAATAGAAGAGTATAATATTGAGCTTACCTTACATTTCATTCTGATTAAGCCCCGTCCCTTTTCTAGGGAATTAATCCGAAATCTTTTCAGAATCCGAAATCCTTTTTTTGTCCTGCAGAGGGAAAAAATATGATTTGAAAACCAAACCATTTACCTGTCCAGTTGTTGTCTTTTCAGAAGTGTGGCCTTGAGCAAAATCTGGAGGAGACGAGAGCAGAGCTGCTGTTGGTTCGGACAAACCACGCTGATACTGTGAGCGCTCTGGAGACACAGGTAAACCACTGCGGGGAAATCTGCTGAAGATATGATCTTTTGCTCTTATTTGAATGAAAATGTATGTAATATTCACTCATTGTGCTAAATAAGCAGACATAGGTCACCAATTTACAGTTGGTGTTGAAGTGTTCAGGTGAATAAAACTAGTTCTACTTCCTTCCTTATTTGCCTATTTTCATTTGCATTCATTTCTTATCACAAGCACAAGGTTAACTATGGCAAAGCTCTTGCAACTTGCATACAAAGGTTGTCAAAGGGAAACCGGTCATATTGAAAGTAATAAATCAGTGTGGGCTGTGTGTTCCTCTCTGACCCAGGTTTCCAAACTGAACGGCAACATCACTGAGCTGCAGACCCTTCTCCGGCACAAGGACGACTCCTCCAGAGCCTACAGAGACAGAACAGACACACAAGTAAGCAAGCAGACACATTAGTGTCACAATGACAGATAACATTATTCATTTACATATTTCATCTTCTTGTTCCCTTAAAGCAGGGGTATTCAAATCCAATTCAACAAGGTTTCCTCAAGCAAAGGTCCGGAACATCATAATGTCTAACTTGTCTAATTAGTTTGATATATATTGAAGTAGCTTATTAGCTGTATCATTGTCGGCATTTAATCAACAACTGACCATCAAATAAACAAATATTATATATAATATTCATATTTATTGTCACTTAACATTGAACTGTACAGAAATATAATACTGTAGGCATGTATAATGTTCTTCTTGGGCTGCATTTAAAAATATAATAAATAAAATAGCTTTTGGTATATTGTGCATCTTAAAATGCAAGTGCTTAATTTAAGAAAAATTAAATAAAGTGTAGCAGCAGCTTGAGTTTCCCTTTTTTCTTTAACTGTTTCACATCTTGACTTAACAGTCTCAGACTATTTTAGAATATATCATATATGTGTATCAACAAATCTTAACAATTGAACAGTTTGACAGTTCTATTTCTGTCCCTTTTATATCCCACTCCCCACTTTGTTTTGTTCAGTGAGAGAACTGAGCTCTAGCTTGTCCTGTCAGGAATTAAAAGCTGCTTATTTCCTGTGACCTCAGTTCAGAGTGGGAATGTTTGGTCACAAACGTTGTGCTTTGTCTCATAGTGGCGTTTCACATTGGGACTTTTAATGAGCGCCATGGTCTCCTAGCAAACAAGACACACTGGGCCTGTGCTCCCAGTGGGCAGGATGAACATGGATGAGTCTGTCCATTCTGGGTTGAAAGCTCTGTTTCACTGTCCACCTTTCTCTTCTTAGAGATCGCCATGTGTACTTATTCTTCTCTCCCTGGGTGTTTCTCAATCTCGAGTAAAGCTGCTTCAGAGCCACTATTTCAAGCATACTACGTCATCGAGTGCCGCCGAAGTACTGTTCCTATCTCCAGCATACTTGGAAATCTACCGAGCCCGGCGTACTCCGTTTGGAGAAATATCGAGGCTGCACATGAGTAGACTTCGTCTTAAAATCCCCACAATGCTTTGCGCACGGACCAATTTCCCCAAATCTGTGGCGGAAGATGTAAGGCGGGGCCTCTCATATGACGCACACCTGCACACTTGCTAGCGTGTTCCACACTTCGTTTTCCGAATGCCAGGAAGCATTCTTGACTCGCTTCTGAAGCAAGATGCTCGGCAGACATGTGCTACCAAGCAAGCGTACTCGCGATTGAGAAACACCCCCTGTCTACAGCATGGATGTATAATAAGAACTGGATACAGCGTGGGAGGCGGGGCCTCATTCATTCCTATGAGAGTTGCTCATTCGCGCATGATGATAAAATGGCCCAACTTTTGAGAGAGCGAAACATCACAGATTACCCGGCATGCCTGAGAAGTACCCGTATGTGCGCTCATAGCGCATGCGCAACTTTAACCATGCCCCCCAAAATGCTCGTTCACATCAAGCACGTCAATTTGCGTACACGTAACAGCACCGCACGTTCATGACAGCATGGTAATGTTTGTTATTATGATAGATTTGATATTAACGAGGCGGCAGTTAGCAGCTAGCGGTTAGCTAGTAATTATGCTAATTTACACATCAATTATGTACTTTTATATTACGCTGTAACAGGATCTAGTGATATCCAAGCAACAGAGCTTCATTTAGCATGAAAGAATTATTGCACTGTATATATATATATATACACAGTGCAATAAGCTTCTTAGTGCAATAAGAAGCTACAGGGACGTTAATCTACGTCGGTAATATTAACTTTATTTAATACAACATTTACGGTACAAGATTTAATCATACAGCCCATGTAGTATAATATTTTACAAATTATGAATTACAGCAAACATGTGCAATATATCCATTATTACAGCTCCGTGGGCTGGCAGTAAGGCGATATGGGTCCGTTCTTATTGTACATCCATGGGTAAAGATAAACGCATGTAGTGCTGAACACGTAACATGAACGTGCCGGGCGGCGCGGTCCCGTGGGTTAGATGCACGTTCATAATGCAGAGGGAAATAACTCTCAGAATAACGTTATTAGCACATTTTTACAACTTGAGAAACGAATGTTTTTAATAAGGGCTATACAAGTGTTCATACTGGGTAGTTTATTTAGTTTAAAAAAATGTATCCAACGATTTACAGACCACTCTTTCCCCATGTAAGTCAATGGCAAAAAGTGTTTCCGGGCCTGGCAACCAAAAGGAAGTGTAGTACCGCCGTTTGGCCAGCACGAATATTTTCATCAGAGTCCGGCGCACTTCCTGGGGGCTTGGTCTACAGCTGACTCGTCTCTTCTTCTGTGTTTCTCTCCCTGTATCGCTCACTCTCTTTCGCCCCCTGTCTGTGCCGGTTAGAATAGAAGCGCCCCGTCAGAATTGAAAATCCCTTAATACTTCATTGATTATAAGTCCGGGTCTGTACAGGTCGGCGTCTGGGTCCGCACCAAATGATGCCCGCCTTAAAGCATTGTTCATTAACAAATCACATAGTATTGGGGGACAAGGGAAGCATACAGTAAAAACTGTCTGACAGTGACCATAATGAATGGTCTAACTTTATATAATATCCCACAGGTGAACAGGTTCATTGGAAACAGGTGAGTGTCATATTTGGGTCAAAAAGGAGCATCCCCGAAAGGCTCAGTCGTTCACAAGCAAGGGTGGGCGAGGTTCACCACTTTGTGAACAACTGCGTGAGCAAATAGTCCAACAGTTTACGACCAACGTTTAATCAACATACAATTTCCAGGGATTTCATCATCTACAGTCCATAATGTCCTCAAAAGATTCAGATCATTTGGAGAAATCCCTGCACTTAAGGCCGGAAAGCAACATTGAATGCCCGTGACCTTCGACCCCTCAGGCAGCACTGCATTAAAACCTGACCTCATTCTGTAAAGGATATTACCACGTGGGCTCAGGAACACTTCAGAAAACCATTGTCAGTGAACACAGTTCGTCAGGTTAACACTCTACCAAAGCCAAAGCCATATATCAACAACACCCAGAAACTCCACCGGCTCCTCTGGGCTGAGCTCGTCGGAGATGGACTGACACAGAGTGGAGAAGTGTGCTGTGGTCTGATGAGTCCACATTCCTAATTGTTTTTGGAAATCCTGGACGTCGTGTCCTCCGGTCTAAAGAGGAAAAGGACCATCCAGATTGTTATCAGCGCAAAGTTCAGAAGCCAGCATCTGTGATGGTATGGGGGGGTGTTAGTGCCCATGGCAACTTGTACATCTGTGAAGGCACCATTAATGCTGAAAGGTACATAAACGTTTTCAGGGACGTCCCTTCTAGACAATGCCAAGAGAAAGAGTCGGGGTACCAGACCGGCCTGCCTGCATTGAAAGTGTTGTTGGAGGGAAGGGGATGTAACACAGTGGTAAACATGACCCTGTCCTAGCTTTTCTGGAATGTGTTGCAGGCATCACATTCAAAATAACTGAATATTTGTAAAAAAACATAAAGTTTATCAGATGGAACATTACATATCTTGTCTTTGGAGTGAATTCAATTGAATATGGGTCAAAAAGGATTTGCAAATAATTGTATACAGTTTTACAGAACGTCCCGACTTCATTGGAATTGGGGTTTGTATATGGGTCCTCATCTTGATAGGAAATACATTGATTTATGTTGAATGGCTGATGATGTTGCTCACAGTATAGAATGCTATAATCATTGTACAACTTTTTGTTTCAGATCGCTGATTTGGAGCAGAAGGTGGTGGAGAGTAGTGACAGACTGAGGAGTGCAGAGCATCAGATCACAGAGAAACAGCAACACATGGAGAAACTGGTGAGTACCACAACTATCAAGAGCAAACACTGTCTTTTAGACGTTTCCAGAAATGACTGTCGGTTGACTTATACCTAGAAACCTTTGGTTGCTCTCTGGGGTTTCATTCTGCACAAAATGGCTCTGGATAGTAGAGAGTACTAGGAAGTTGAGTTTGCTTCACCGAATATGGAATAATCGGGAACTATGAATACAAAATGTAAGCACTTTTCTCAATGTGTTATTGTAAAATGGTTAAATATAAAAAAAATATTAATTATTACAATAATATTTTATTATTTAGAAAAGTCTGTACTTTGGTGACATCTTTTCAGCACAAAAATGATAATGATGTGTAATGTAATAATGTCATTCCATAACGTAAACTGTTTCAGCGCAGGTAATCCTGCAGGAAAATCACTTTATTGAAAAACTATTCATGAAAACATTTATGTTTTATTAGTCTTGTTGTCAGTAAAAATTGTTCGTGTCGATTACGAAGAATTCAGTTTCAGGTCCAGGAAACATTTTTTCCCAGCAAACCTTAACTCGTGTGGCTGTGTCCATGATATCCAATGTTTGACCTCTATGATAAAGACCACATTCTCAGGCCAGTTGGATGCACTGTATGAATATAACCATTACGGGTGTGCTGTCACACTATGTACTCATTTATATAATAAGCTATTTATCTACAACCTTTATCCATTTGTAACATTTCTAAGAAAGAAAAAATAAAACGTATGTTGCTAGTGAAAATCTGAAATGTTTTATGCACTCAAGTCCTTTTTTAAGGAAAAAAAAATATATATCTATTTCCAATGGGTTTAAAATCTAAGTTAAATTGGGTTTTTGGATGCTTTTGTTAACAATGCATTTTGTTTGTGTGTTATGATCAGCAGGGAGAGTGTAATGCAGAGAAGGCCTTTCTGGATCAGCAGGTGTGTTTGCTGCAGCAGCAGAGCGAGGAGAAGGCCAGCCGCCTGCAGCAGAGCATCAGCTCCCTGCAGACTGACAGACAGCTGCTGCACCACCGACTGGTAGGCTCCTCATGGTCTCTTCTCATTAGGCAAACATGTCTTATTATTATATATATAGTAGTCATGCTGTTCCATTGATAGTTTAATGGATACAACTTTACTATAAACACAACCGATATATATATAGAGCAAAAACACTGTTTGCTCTGTGATGACTGATCGTTTCCCTGCTCCTGTGTTAGGCTGACCTGGACAGTCAGAGGGACGAGGCCACTTCCAGCCTGAGCCAGCGGACTGAGGAGCTGGAACAGTGCAGGGTAAGATCCACTACAATACACAAAGCTCTGATCCATCATTCATATTCACTGTTTGTTGTTTTTTTGTTTTTTCAAGTGTTTTTTATTGAGTTCATCTTCCTACAAAGTGTTATTCTACAAGGTACCTCAACGAGTCCCTTACATGTTTCAAAGGAACTTCTGCATGTTTTTTAAATCAAATAAACAAATAATAAAAGAAAATAGGCATTTACATGACACATGAAATCACACATTTATAGAAAGGTTGGTGTGGGGTTCTCCCTTCGAGAGATGATAAAAAGCTTCTCCAAATCCTTTCAAAGGTAGAATATTTACCCTTAAGCACAAAGATACGTTTCTCAGGAGCAAGGGAATATGAAAGCCCACCAAGCCAGACCTGCAAGCTGTTGCTTGTTGGTGTTTATTGCTTGTAAATAAGCAGTAGACAGTCATTTAACCCACTGTTTTTTAAATAGAAACATGAAATGGGGAAAAACAACTATTACAAATGTAATTCAAAAGTATGTAAACACATAAACCTACATATTTTGTACTGTCTTCACATAATGTCATACAGCTTTGCTGACAGCCCTATTACATACTCAAAAGCTATATATTTAGTACTTAATACGGCTATGCAATTAATGCATTTTCTATCGAAATCACAATATGGACTAGTGCAATATTCATATTGCAGGAAGCACAACATTTGCCTAAATTTGTGTTTAAATACAATTTTTTGAATGAAGAAATGTGGAGCTGCAGAGCTATACCAGCCTACAATTTGTATTCTACAATTAACAAAACATATTTGCTTTGTCCAGATCCTCCTGAAAATCATGCCATAATCATTTAATATATTTTCCAATGATAATGATAATTTTGATTTAAAAAATGATCAATCCCTTCAATATCGTGAAGCATATCCCAATGGTAATATCAGTCAAAAAGTCACAATAAGTTATTTTATCCAAATTGTGCAGCCATAATACTTGGTGACATTCACTAGAATTGTCAGATCCACTACAAATGTATAGTTGTAAAGATTGTTTTCATAAAGGAGAGCAGATTGTGTTTGTAGTCCTCACATCTTGCCTCGGCCCCTCAGGCGGAGCTGAACAGTCGGCAGACGGTGAGCACAGAAATCGCAAAAGCTCTAGAAGAAAGCAGAAGACAGAAGGAGGAGCTGCAAACACAGGTCTGTAGGCAACACACGTCACGGAACATTCACAAAGCCTGACAAGCAACAGCCGACATGTGGCAGTCTCCCTGTTTAGTTGACTGAATCTTATTTGATCATTACAGAGTGTAAGACAATGTAAAAGAAATACAGAGCGGTTTGTCATCCTGTAGGTGTGAGTGTAACAGCTGTGCAGTGTAATCAAAAGTGTTTCCTTTGCTTGGTGTCAGGTTGGAGAGCTGACTGCATCCCTGCAAAGCTCTCTGCAGCAGGTGTTCACTGTCAATAAGAAGCTATCACTGAAAGAAGAAGACATCGAAACGCTTCAGAGTGGTACACACACACACACACACACACGCACGCACACACACTCACTCTCACTCTTCACATCCTTTAAAAAAATATCCACCTGAAGGTCCTGTGCTTCCATAGTCAGGTTAAAGGGGTAATTAGGATCTTTTTGCAGTTCTGTTGTATGAGGTACTTGTACAGTATTTTCACGGCCTTCTCCTGCTGTGGGACAGCTACACAATCTATGTTTCAACGGGGAACTGAAAAAGTTGTCTTTGCGCTGGCAAAAGACACCAGAGTCCATTGAAAAGAAGAAAATCTATATATTTTCTAACATCGCAGACAACGGGGGATGCTTGTCTACTGCTGCCTCCATCACTGTTGTATGTGTGACTTTGGCTTCAGTTCCCCTTCAGAAACGAGTAATCTGATTTCACTGTAATATGCCTTTTACTCTAAATGAAATAAAACGCATGGATTTCATGAGAGAATTAACGTTACATGATGGTTGTGGCGGCTCAATCCCGAGTTGCGTTTGAGTCGCCGAGAGGCTAAACTTGGCTATAAACTGTGACGCGTTTTCGAAGAGAAAGTCCATAGTGAAGCCATATCGTTTTAAGGATATTTAATAAACAAAATCATAACATAGTAACTATGGACAAAACGGTCAACAGAAAAAATGGCAGCACAAGCTCACCCTCTGTCATCCCCACTCGACATGAAACAGGTGACTTAAATAGACAAACCACACCCATGTGACAATTACCGGAAGTGCTCAACAATCAAATAAAAGTGACGTAAACAAATAATAATAATACAAATAATGAACTTGGGCTAAGTAGCATTATGGCGCCTACAATGGTCTCAACGCTGTTTCTTTTCCAACCTTCCAAGACTGAAAAATACTATTGGAGCTATGAATACTTATAAGCATCTTTGATCTAAGAGCAGTGTTACAGGCTTTTTAAATTGAAATGCTTGCACTGAGAGTAGCCAAATCATCTTAGAAGTGGACTTCACAAGACAATTAAAACATTGTTAAAACAGTAAGTTTTCTTTAGGTTGCTACTGTAGTCACTCTGCAGGTTTTGTCAGTATAAAATAAGTGTTATATGTAAAGTCTTGGATTTTAAATGGTTCTTTTAATAAAACATACATTTTTCATAAATGATGGTGCTTGTGTGTGTATGTGTTGCAGAGGTGCAGTGCCGGCAGGCCTCCCTGGAGCAGCTGCAGGCGGAGGTGGAGCAGCAGTTGGCGCAGGTGGAGCTGGACAAAGACTCCCAGCTCAGCAGCCTGAGGGAGGAGCTGCTCAGCCAGACTCAGCAGCTCGATACCTGCCAAGCTCGGGTCAGCACCTACACTCGGTGTACACACACAGGGTCACACACACAGGGTCACACACACAGGGTCACACACACACAGGGTCACACACACAGGGTCACACACACAGGGTCACACACACAGGGTCACACACACAGGGTCACACACACACAGTGTCACACACAGGGTCACACACAGGGTCACACACAGGGTCACACACAGGGTCACACACAGGGTCACACACAGAGGGTCACACACAGGGTCACACTCAGTGTACACACACAGAGGGTCACACACAGTATCACACACACAGGGTCACACACACATGCATTCATACTCTTGTATGGCACATCCTGTCATTTCTAACGCGAAAAATACATTCAGGAAGACCAGTATTCAATATTAGAAGCTCAAGTTTTAAAGGATAGTTTGGGTGTTGTGAAGTGTGGTTTTATGAGTTACTCATCCATAGTCAGTATATGACCTACAGAAAATGGCGGTCGGCACACAAAACATCCAAACTATTCCATTAAGAGATAAGTTTGACATTAAAAATAATGTTAATTTCCCATTTTGTTTTTCATACCTGTAAATACATTTATTACATTCTCTTTGAATGTGCCACCATCAGTTTACCCTTACCTTTTCAAAGTATTTAACCACAGTTAAATTCATGCATTCATTAAGTAGAATGAATGCATGAATTAGCATCAAATTATACTTGAAACACTAAAACTAAAAATACTCATTATGCCAAATGTATTATATTGTGGGATTATAATAAGAGATGCATTAATGTGTTGTTCATTTACATTTTAAGGTGTAGCTTATTTAAATTACTTTTTATACTTTTGGGCATCTTAATCCATAATAATATATCATAATAATAATAATCATGAGACTTCAATTTGCATTGCCATAACTACACTGTAGCTACCGTGCTACCTCCGAAGTAACTAGAAACTATGTAGTCAAAATATAGTAGCGTGAGAAGTACAATAGTTCATTTCTAAATAAAGTGGAGTAAAAGTATTTGAAATGTTAATACTCAATGAAGTACAAGTACTTCAATATTGTAGTGAGTACAGTCCTTCAATAGATGTACTTACTTTCAAACACTGGGTCAGTGCCACTGATGGAACTTGAAGGATTGGTCCGTGTGGTTTGCTTTCTGTTGCTCAGATCTCGTTCTTGGAGGTGGAGGTGGAAACGTTGACAGAGCAGCTCCACAGCCCCGAGGTGTGTGAGGAGGATCAGAATGGCAGTGTGACGGTGGATGACCTAGATCACATCCACAAGGTCAACAGAGACCTGGAGCAGCAGCTCACTGACAAGAACAGGGTTGGTTATCTTTTTACTCCACTCTGTTCTTCCAGCTTTTAAACAATTATTCATAATGAACGCATACCTGCAGACACACATAAAACATACTGTCATTGTTTTGCAGACCATCAAGCAGCTGCAGCAGAGACTGGCAGAACTGAAGAGGACGCTGCAGAAGGAACTGGTGAGACACACTGAGGATCTTCTTAGGTTCACTGTTTCCTTTTCACAATATGTCTGCAAACTGTGAAAATGTCTTGATAAGAGAGAACAGAAGCCCCGAGAGGCAATTGAGAACAATATTCTAGTGATGCATGTACAACAGGTTAAAAAAAGTTTTTTCCAAGATAATCTTTCTTATTTCTTTAAAAAATGTCATCTGTGAAAACAGATGACATTAAAAAAAATGTTGACCGTTTTTTTTCTGGATAGTGTTTCTAGGGATCGACCGATATGGCTTTTTCAAGGCCGATACCGATTATTAGTAATCAAGGAGACCGATAACCGATATTTGGAACCGATATACATTTGCAGTAAAATCAGAAAAGCTTGGTGTCAAAATGTAGAATAACAGAACTTCTTTGAAATGCCTTTTTATGTTTAATGAACTTTTCAACATCTTAAAACTGGTTTCCTCTCTGTGACCCTGAGTAAAGTAAATGAAGTAAAAATAAAATAAAAACGACTAAAACTTGTTCTGAACTTCTGATATTTGAGTCTCACTCATTTAGTAGTCCCAATTCAGCAGCACCAGATTGTGGTGCAGAAAGCAGAGTTGCTGCGAGGCTCCACTAGCAGCCGTCACAGTCCCAGTCCCAGTCCCAGCGCGTACCAGTTTCTCCGCTGCGAGACGCTACCCGCCCCCCCCCGGTCCCTTTGTAACTGGGAAACTGATAGAATTGGATCATAAGATCGTGGTGTTTTTGCAACTTCAGCATAGGGGATTGGGATGTTTATTGAACTTCAGCTTTCAACTGATTTACCTTGGAAACACCGCTCACTGTTGCTGCTGCTTGCCTCTGTCTGTGTCTGCGTTCTTCGCACCTGCCTGTAATCTGAGAAGGTCCCGCCTTTCTGGCTGGCTGCAGCCCGGAAAATCTTCAGTGTTGATTGACACTTCAGTAATAGCCTATCAGATAGCGCTGTGGGCGGGACATTGCTCATGAAGAGTGGTGACTGCAGCCAGAAAAATGCGGAATATCGGTCTCGATAATCGGCCAGGCCGATAATCGGTCGACCCCTAAGTGTTTCTACTAATTCCGTCACCATGTGTTTGTTTCCAGGTGAGTTTTAATGTCTCCAGCACTCCAAACGCAATGAACATATATTGTGTTTTGTTACATCTGTTATGTCTTTGTTTTGGCTTTTTCTCCACTGGTACTTTAGTCATAAATACAGGAGAGAAAATAATTTAAAATAGACTGAGAAAGAAAAATCACCAGAATGTATTTATAGTCCTCTCTTGCCTCTGTGGCCAGTCCCCCCTGTTCTTTATATATTGGCGAAACATGTGCAAGTCATGTGATCTGGAGACGACCCAGAATGGCTCAGGGACAGCTCTTAATGTTTCTGAGTGGCCCAGCCAGACTAGTCTAATGCCCAATCCATCTAAAATCCTCTTCTTACTTTTTCCTGATGGAGTGTTGAAGTAGATTGATTTCAGTGTAAGGCAGTTGCATAAGAAAATGGGAAAAGTGAAGAGGTTTGAATACTCTCTGAACGACCAGTGTTTACTTGTTGTGCTCTGTAGAAGCTTAAGCCTGAACCAGAAGCCGAAGGGAAGGAGAAGTTTCCAGAAAGCCGGGCAGAAAAAACAGAGAGGGTTTATCCAGAGCCGCCACCAGCATCCACGCTTAGCCCCCCCACCTCCAACACCACGGTGACCAACACCTCAGACCTCAACGACTCACGAGAAATCAACTTTGAGTATCTCAAACACGTCGTACTCAAATTTATGTCATGTAGAGAGGCTGAGGTAGGCTAAAATAATCTCTGTCAGCTGGTTGTTGACTGACTGACCCTGGTTCTGTTACCAAGTCTGAATCTGTGTGTCTTGCTCTGTCAGGCATTCCAGTTGATACGCGCTGTGTCTGTGCTGCTGAACTTCTCTCGTGAGGAAGAGGACATGTTGAAACAAACTCTGGAGTACAAGGTTGGTCTTCAGTCTGCAGCTTAAAACACCTGTCTGTGCAATGATTTGGTTAATGAAACTTAGAACACTTCAATGAAATGAACCCATATATACAGTACATTTATTAAAAGAGTTGCATCCTAACTTAACCTGATGTCTGCTGTGTTAAATGTTTTAGATGTCCTGGTTTGGATCAAAGCCTTCTCCGAAGGGTGCCATCCGGCCTTCAATCTCAGGCTCTTCAACTAACTGGAGCTGAGTAGCAGCAGCAAGAATTCAAGCTGTGGAGAGAAAGGAACCGAAGGAGGGAAAAATCTTTCTGCTCGGGCTCCCATCACTGAGCAGGCTCTAGCTTTAAACTCTGAACAGCCTCTCTAGGTTTTCTGGCTCTGTGAGGGAAGGACTGTTCATCTGCTCCGGTGGGACAGAGAAGGGCTGCACAGGATGTTCTTAATCAATTGTTGATTTTTAAATGACATTATTTCCTTCTCATTGGTTGGGGCCAATGGACCTGTGGCCATATGTTACAGAGAGTAAACTGACACACATCACTCGTACTGTGGTTTAGGTGTCTACATGAAGTCTGATTTCTCTTCTGTGACAAACATCACAGTGAGTTAGCATGTCAGGACGTGAGAGAGTTTTAGAAGACGTGACAGACGGACTTGACAGTTATCTTAGATCATTTCTACAATGATTCACACGACAGTCACATCTGTTTGTCAGAACAGAAGAACATTGTGACTTCTTTACTGGACGAGTGGTGCAGCATTCATTGCTAACGGTCACATGGTTATTCTTTCAGTATAAATCACAGAGGGCTTCTCAATGAGTGTGTCATTAAACGATGGGACAGGTTACCCAAGCTGGTTTCAGTACCAGTGAGTTTATTTAATAATACCTGCCAAATTGACAAATAGTTCACATTTCTGTCAAAGGATCTAAATGTATCTACATTTAGAGATTGAGGCCCCTCTGCCGATTGTTTTTCATCAAATTGTCATCACACATTTTCCTTGCTTGAAAAGTGTACATCATTTGATATATTCATTATAGAATTGAAAGGAATGTGTGCATCTATGGTCTGATGGAAAAGGTATACAATTCTTAAAAGACTACTTTACAACTTTAAAAAAAAAAAAACAGGGAATCCAGACTATCTGTTCAATGGCACACCACATTTTTCCAAATGTTCTAACACTGACATGTTTACCAATTTGTGATAGAGGATTAATTACGATTAACAGTTTTTTTAATCACTTCAAAAGTAAGTTGGGCATTTAATGAAACTTCCTTGCTCTAATTTCTCTGTAAAAGCACACTTGCTTCTTAATTCTTTACACTGTCATTGGAATCATTTTTACAAGATGGTAGACTGGTACTGGTTCTTCAGTCTTATACCAGGATAACAGCATAGTACATACAGCGCCTACTAATCTGTTAACAAAACTGTCATCATGCCCTAGCCACACGGAGACGAAACGGATCGTATCCGCTACAGTTCTCTTATCATATAGACGGTTCGGCCACACGAGGCCGACAGGGAAACGCAGATAACGATAACGATAACGATAACGGGTCCCATGGTGGGTAGATCTGAGGACGCAACGCTCTGGGGGGGCTAACGGCTCCGTGATTACGCCCTATACGATCATTTCCTGATAACGAAAAATGCTGACGGGCTGTCAGGAGAGGGGGAGGAAAAGAGAGACTCCGTGTATTATTCGAATCATAAATCGAATCGATAGATTTATGATTCGAAAACTATAAAAGTAGGGTAGACATGTGGAGATTATCCGACTGAACAAAACGTGATCCGTCTCTTAAATGTGTGTCAACCACAGACCTTATTTCGAGCTATTTTCCAAAATCCAATGGAGAAATTGCATTGCTTTTTTGTCGAAGGAACCCATGCGCAGCTTACTTCCGGGTTTTAGGACGCGTCACTGTGGCACTCTATATAGAGTCGTTATTCATTTGTTTTAAAGCTCAATAAATAACAAAGAAGACCTTTGACCGGCACTTTTATAATTTTGTCCGGAAGATTTCAACTTTAACGGAAATGTTGACCTGCAAAAAAAAATTCTAACGGAAACTCTGCCGCACGGTTCCCTTGTCCCTTGGAAGAGACGGAGAGGTGGGTGTTTTTCATCTGCTGGTGGACTACCGGGGAGATTTACAGCAGGAGCACACGCTTTCTTTGGGGAGGGAGAAAAAGAGCCAGAGCCCTGGCCCCTGCCTCTCCCCACCTCTGCTGCTAAATCCACCGCGGAGAATAAACAGAAGGGCAACCATGGCACATGCATGCTCGGGAAGTCTTCTTCGCTGCTTTAGGTGTATTTTGTGGCGGAAGTACAGCGCCACTTACAGGCCCGGCATATGTACTACAGCGGGTCGAGCGGTCTCGTGTGGACGGACACGTTTCTGGTGCCGATTGCGTGTGGACGGAAGACTTTTTTGATATCGAATTCGGTTCGTTTTCGTTACCGTCTCCGTGTGGCTAGGGCAAGAGGGCTATCAAGAACTACCTGGCAGGCAAACTGTTATTGATACGAGTTAACATCCCAGCAGCCGTTGCCCTCAAATCCTCCCCCCTCATCTGGATTGGTAGACCTCAAATGCTATTGCTTACCAGTAGAGTTAAGGTCTACCAATCCAGCAGTTGTGCTTGTTGCAGGATTGTATAAACATCGTTCGTAAATGTTGCATTGGAGGCTCAGGTCAGGGTAAAATTTGAATAATTCCAATTAATAATTAAAAGGGATTTTCAAAGTGTGAGACTGTCTGCTCTACTCAGACAAAGCTTAGGAAAGGTGCCCACCCACTCAATCACTTCAGACGTCATTATTGGCATAAAACAGTATTTCCCAAGGGGTTCTTCATTAGTTTTTGACTTTGGGAAAGTAGGAAAAACTGTATAATTCTCTACTGCATCTCTGAATGATCTCTTTAATCACCTCACACACATGCTGTTCTATGAGATCTTTCTTTGATGTTACATTTATTTCAGATCCATTAACTGAGTCAGCTGCAAATGTTTGGAACCCCACCTCCCACTTAAAAAAAAACTCATTTAGTCTACAGTTGTCCATTTAGATAATATAACAATGTGATAAAATAAGTGAATGCTATGTTAATGATGACCGGAGGACATGCTCTACCTTTACCTGCCTTTGCTAATGTAAATGAAATACATTCCACATGTCTATTTATATATATATATAAATATGTACATACTGTATGCATTGAAATCTTTATAAATCTGTGGATGTAAATGTTTGGATGTGACCAGTTTGCAGTGTTTATCATTTAGTGGGAATGCTGATAACAGCATTCCAATTATCTGTTCTTCTACGCACTAAATTCTTTAATTTTATTCCGCCCGTTATTTTGCCGGTCTTCTCCCACATTCCACATCGCAGAAACTCTGTTAAAACATCAAAACGTTCAGCTCGATCGGGAATCTATTGCTATTACTTTTCTCATTCATAACTTTCATAATTCCCGAGATATATCTCATAATTCATCACATTTTTAACCATTGAAGTCAATGGAGAAAATCTTCAGACTTGAACTATCTTCATGCGACTTCAACTGCTAACTGTTCCTTCATACTTTCACTCAGAAACCTCCTTCCAACTTTAAAATGTTACACATCTTTCTGACATTATTCGTGTAACACAGCTTTTAAATCTGATTCTTACTTTTAGAGATATTAAACATTGTTCAGACCTTGGTAAAGAGGTTTTCTTCAGATTTTAACATTATAGAGTGCGTGATGTCACAGCTAGAGTGTAGGACAGCTTGAAATTTGCCTTCATATTTTTTTTTAAACCTGCCATAATTCCCAAACCCTACATTCCTGAGACATACCTTTTCATGACAAACGGAGGAAAACATCTCGTAGCGTGAAAAATCACAAATAATTAAGCAAAATAATTAAACAAAATGCCTCGAGGGCATGAAGTGACTTTCAACATGCCTCCATTAAAGCCCATTGTAATTTCAGGCTGATATTTCCTCACAGCAGCAGCCGCACACCTTTAGTTAATCTGCCAAAAAGGCCACATTATTGACCCGAAAGTACACAAAAAGCACACTTCAGATACTCAAGGTCCTTGAGATGCTTCACGCTTTGAAATTTCACCGATATCTGTTACGGTTCTTCAACAAAACATTCACATGTAAGAGGTTTATCTCTCATTCAGAACAATGGAAACCTTTGGTCTCTGGACACCTCGTTAGCTCAAATATAAACACCTGTGTAATGGAACACGATGATGTCATAACTCCAACTGACATGCTCAGAGCAGCAGACTTCAGATAATGGTTAATGGTCCTGCCCTCAACAGCTCTACGTCAATTATGGGGTGTCATCATATGCCGTTTCCATGCCATAAAAGACGATGTCGCTTTACATTAACTCCTATGAAAATGTTCAAAAAGTGCTCAAACTTCACATGTGTGCTAACAGTCCAGCCGTGAAGACATCTACGGGACAGTTTTGAGATTTCTTCAAATGCCGTTGCCATGGCAACACAATGCTCGCCATGAAACACGGTTTTCTCATAACTTCAGTGAAAATGCTCCAAACGGCCCAACACTTCACAGGTTTGGTCAACGCATCTAAGCGTATTATGGGATGTCATCAAATGCCGTTGGCATGGTGACAGATCATTCACCATCAAGTTAGTTCAAAAGTTTGCAGTTCAAATATTCTGCTGCTTTTCCAAGCCTTTTTACTTTCTTTTCTTCTCTCATCACACATTCAAGGCCCCAGTGTTCATGTATCATTTCAATCTAAATTCTTCACTTTCTTCTTACACATTACATTTCAGCAGCAGTTTAGCGTCAGATGTTCAGCATAAAGCATTCCCACTAGCAATTTCTTCAGGAATTGCATTCTCTAGTTTTGCTTGATCTTTAAATTCTTTGAAATGTTTTCGCTTTATTGGAGTCTACTACCTTTGGCTAATTTAATTATTGTAAAGGTTTTAAATAACATAGACAACTTTTCATGTGCTGAGTTCTTGAAGAAGACAGTATTTGGCTCAGGTATAAAGCTTTACCCCGCCCTGCCGCCAGTGGCGCTGTTTGTGTAGAATCAAAGTGAGACTTAAAATCCACGAAGAAGAATTACTACATATTCTGAGCACTCGCAGTGTCTGGTCTTTCTACAGTACCGTGAGGAGAACATGGTGGTATAGCCTTCACTCGATCATTCACATCCACTTTTTTAATTTATAACATGAATACTACACGTACACACACGCTTCTCGGGTAGCCGTTCTTGCGTGTGTTGATTAGCCAGGGATGCAAACTTGTCACCTTTTGGCGAAATTTGCCATTTTGAATCCAAAATAGGTCGTTTGTGTGATTCATGTAGATCTGCAATAAAAATATTTTTGGGGTATGGGGGGGGTCTGGGACCCGGAGTAATCTGCGGCCGCGAGCTGTTATGTGCCATCATGACACGCATGGTGTTCTTTTTTTATATATTATAATGAAGCGCGAGCTGTGTGCTCGAGTCTTCCTGCCTGTCGGCTCTGCTCATGGATGTATAATAAGGCTCTGCTGCTCCGGGATGAGGGTCTAGCTTCAGCAGCTACATTACCTACGGGTGCGTTCGTTAATATTAACTGTGTGGTCCGGAGTCACTGTGGCACAGACTGGACCGCTGGTGATCAGCTGTTAGAACGGGCCGTTCAGGTGTTCAGAGCAGAGCTCCCTGTCGGAGCGGCAGAGCGTGATGTGCACTGAAAACTTTTTCTGTCGCAATATTATAGTTGAGCTAGCTAACTAGCATACATTGTCACTATCTGCTAACGTTAGCTTTAGCCTTCGTTTTCTAATAGTTGTTTTCATAGGCTATAAACGGAGGTGGTATAAGTATAGATCTTGTACTTGAGTAAAAGTAGAAGTACTCAGATCTTGTACTAGAGTAAAAGTAGAAGTACTCAGATCTTGTACTTGAGTAAAAGTAGAAGTACTCAGGTCTTGTACTTGAGTAGAAGTACCAGAATGTAGGAACAATCCTGCAATCAAAATGTTCCTCAAATAAAATTATCATCAAAATATAGTTAAAGTAGCGACAGTAAAAGTAGAAGTACTCAGATCTTGTACTTGAGTAAAAGTAGAAGTACTCAGGTCTTGTACTTGAGTAAAAGTAGAAGTACTCAGGTCTTGTACTTGAGTAAAAGTAGAAGTACCAGAGTGTAGGAATACTCTGTTACAGTAAAAGTACTGCATTCAAAATGTTCCTCAAGTAAAAGTATAAAAGTATTATCATCAAAATATAGTTAAAGTAGCGACAGTAAAAGTAGTCATTGTGCAGATTGGTCCATTTCAGAATAATATATATGATGTGTTTTATAATGATTGATCATGAAAGTGTTCTCAAAGCTGGTAAAGGTGCAGCTAGTTTGAAGGACTTTGTATACTGCAGGGTAGTGTAAGAGTCGGGAGTCATCTGATAATTTATTCCGGCAAATTATTCAGACCTCCTAATTGACCTAACCGAAGTTATTGAGTCTATGTAAGTTTACTGCTTGGCTCAGATCCACCAACGTCAGCAAGATCTCACCTCTATTAACTCCCCGAAG